TCCCGTCCCGCCCAATGTTGTGTCCCAGGAGCTTGCCTTTGGAGACACACACTTCGGCCTTGCTGATTCCAAAGGAGAACCCAAACAAGATTGACTTGTCTAGGAAACCCTCTAAGGAAACGAGGTGGTCGAGGAGGTGCGGGCACGCCTTTGGGTGTCGGGCGCGCATATCTGCCGCGAGCTGCTCATAATAATAGTCCGTTGGAGGCTCCTCGATCATCTTATCGATGTCCCAGCTCTCCACGATATGATAGCTCGGGCAGCGCGCCGTGTCGACCGCGTCTGCCGGGCGCACAGCGTCACTTGCGCCTCTCCCAGCAGTGGCCGATCCCTCACGCCAGCCAGCCCAGCGTGGCCCCTTGCGCGTCCTAAAGACCGCGAGGCGTTCGGTGACTGGAACCTCATCGCTGCACGCAACGCTTTCCGCCACACGCAAATCCCTCGTGTCCCAAAGACGCCACGCCTCACCTACGCGCTGAAGCAAGCACGTTTCGTAAGGCGCCTTCTCGACCGCCAGGGTCCCAAGGTCCTTCTGCGCAGGGCGCCTACCCCACACAGACGGGTAACCACCTGGCGCCTCCCACCAGCTGTCGACGCTTGGAAGGTGGTCCAAGCAAGTAAGCACTCCAGGCTCCTCAACAGGGCGCCCAACCGGGCCGCTCCCGCCCCACACGGAAGCGAGAACAGTCACCGCAGCGAGGACCGATAGCACTCCGATCCTGGCGCCGGTACGCAGCCGCCCAAAGGACCGCGCACACGAGGAACAACCTTGGAAGCTTCTTGCCGCGGCCCTGGACGCAGACCCGCAAGCAAAGCACGGGTCGTGGTCAACCGAGGCAACGGCGACCCCACAATCCGCACATGCCTGCGGAGACGGCTCCGACTCGAACACCGTCTCAACCGCGCCACAACCACAGGCCGCAGTGCTAACGAGGCCGGAACGCACTTCCGCAACAACCTCGCCCGGCTGGAGAGAGTGATCGCACTCTTGGGCTGCGAGCAACACAAACCCTTTTCCCTCTCCTGTGGGCCAAAGGCCTGGCACGGCCTCGACCCCGCACTCAACCGGAAGCACTACTCGGACAGGGATCCCTCTGCGGAGACTCCTGGCTCCCGCACGACTGGCACCAGCACCCCGTCGCCTGGCGAGAGCTCGAGCGGCTCTTCCCCGTCGTAGCGGAGGAGCTCCCGGCTTCCGCCCCCAGGCTCGGTGCATGACGCGTCGTCCAGGCTCGACAACCGCGCTTCGAAGGCGTAGGCCCTGTCCTTCCGGGTCTTGCTGTGATCCTCGCACCTGGGCATCCTGATTCCCAGCGTGTCGAGGACGTGAAAGTCGGGACCCGGCCTGAAGCCCAGGCCCATCCTTCCGGCGCAGTCCAACGCTCTGCCGCCGAGGATCAGTCCGTGCCAATCGGACGTTCCCCTGGCTGCGATTTTGCATCGCACGAAAATTTCAGTGTTGGGGCGACAGTCGTCCGCCGTCCTGCCTTCCAGCAGCGTGACGCGCAAGACTGCTGCCCCCTTCAGAGGAACGGGGGCTCCCGAAGCAATGCCATGCACGTATTCGGGGTGGACCCACTTTTCGAGTCTCACGACCGGGAAGCCGGGATCTTCGGTACCGATCCCCAGCTCTGCAGCCCGGTTCATCATGCCCACCACGAGTTCCTCTGTCACGTGGTTTGCGCCGGCGCATCCGTCGAGCATGCACTCGACCTTACGGTCGAGCACCTGGACTACCGTTCTGTACTGGTAGCCTCCTGGCTCGTTGTCCGCCAGGTTCCACCAGTCTTTCGGCAAATCGTCCAGGGTGGCGAACTTGTCCCGCCCGCCCTTGCTCAACGGAAGCGCGTGCTGCTGCACCGCGGCGCGTCCTGCGGCTCCTGAGACGCCTGCCTGGACGCCTGAGCTGCCTATAAGAGCCAGCCGTTGCAACCAGCACTTTCGCCAAAACCAATCGGCACTTTGTAGCAAAACTATGAATGAATGAATGTGGCTCAAAATGGCTCGACAAAAGACTTCAACAAAAACTTTGTGCGAAAAAAATCAATTGTTGAGCGATAAAAAGAGGTTTTTTTTTCACGATAACATGGCAGGGGGGGCAGGGGTTTTAGGTAGGGTTTAGGACTGGTTTAGGATTCAGGGTTTAGGCTTTAGGATTGACAACGAACCGTGGCTTTTTTGTGCCGTGCAGGGTGCAGGGTTCTAGGGCTCTAAAAACCCTGAACTTTAAACCCCGTGGAAACCCTAAAAACCCCTGAACCCTGAACCCGAAACCCTGAACCCTAAAACCTAAACCCTGACCCCTAAACCCTCCAGGGCTTCGGAATCCCTAAATCTTAAAGACAAGGGGGGAGGGGGGGGGGGGGGGGGGGCAGGACGGCCAACAAATTGCTTAATCCCTACCCTGAGCCCTAAATCCTGAACCCTAAACCCCGAACCCTCGACCCTATGGTCGGTTTTAACGTTTAGGGTTTGGGGTTTGGGGTTTAGGGTTCAAGGCTTAGGGCTGTCTACTTGTATCCATAGGAACCCTAAAGCCTAAACCCCAAACCCTGAACCCTAAAAGCTGTCAGAGAACGAACCGACGGGGGGGCTACCACATCCTTGCTGCCTACCTTCCGGAGGACTGCCTGTCACTGTGTGCAAGCCCTGAAAAAGGGTAGGAGCGCTGCAGAAGCGTAAGGTTTAGACTTTCGGGCCCGTGCCCCCTTTCCCACCCAAGCGCTGCAAAAGCGATGCCCAGCACTGCAAAGTGACTGTGACCCGAAACTGTTAGTCGGTCTGGACCGTCTCGAGCCTACATGCCCTTGGTGCCCCTGGAGCAGAGGCGGCCGTTTGCATCCCTCCCCGAAACCCGGCCTGGACCGTCTTGAGCCTACATCCCGGACACGGCGATCCCGCAGAGCCGGAGCCTTCTGCAGCGCAAGCCCTGAGAAAGGGAGATCCTGAAAGTCCTCAAGCCCCCTGTCAGGACTCCAGGATCAGATTCAGCTTTAAGCATCGGCGTGAATCAACAGAACATACAAGCAGAAAGTGAATAATACATGGCTATTATTGAAATCAATAATAGTTAATTACTAATTATCTACTATATATATATATATGTATATCTTATATATATATATATAGTAGAATATATTATGTTATATGATATTCTATTATATATATATATATATTCTATATATATATATATATGCAATATAGCATCTTATGTATTATGGATATTTCGGCAGCTATTGTCATGTATAAAAACATATTATAGTATTGTATTGTACCGACGGTGTATTTATTCTCATTCTTATATTCTTACTCTGATTATTATTCATACTCTTTTTCTGATTATTATTCATATTATTTTTCAGTATATTAATATAGCTATAAATAAATGAACAATAAATGAAATATGATACACATATATATAATATGATATTGCAATATAATATTTTTGATTACACCCAAAAGGAGCACCGTCGTGTCGTTTCCGATAGGAGCACTGCAGGAAGTGATGCCCTCAATCACCATGAAGTCAAAAGGCACTGAAGAAGTGAGCCCCGGGAGCACTGCACAAAGTGAGGCCACAAACACTCAAGCACAAATGCCAACGAGCAAAAGCTTCACACGTGCAGGAGAAAGAGACGTTATATGCGACCAAGCTCACAATTTCTTGGAGACTCGGTGGCAAGAAGTGAGCAGCATGGCCTTGGACGTTGCATGGTTCGTAAACAGACGCATTGCCTAGCACTGGCACACTGAATCTTCTGCCGACTCCAGCCCAAGGCAGTTCATGCCAAGGAACCTGTACGATTCAGATTCGAACACACTAGTAGGCTAACCAGGAACGGGGAAGTAGCACGACGTCAAGACCCACTGTCGACAGCCGGCCATTTGAGTGAGCCATGGCTGTGGCCGGAGGTGGGGGAGCATTAGCTCCAGGCGGAGGGCCGGGAGACTGGAGTGGCGGTCGCAGAGGTTGGGGGTGGGGAGGAGGCAGGCCTCCTGGGTTTGGGCCGTGGTCCAGGGGAATGTTCAGCTGGCATGTTTCTGAGTGCGGTGTAATGTCATCAATAATTTTAATGCAACTGTTTGTTTGGCAGGCATCATCCCTTTACCTTCTCGAAAAGGCCGGAATGGGATGAGCACGAGTTTGAGGCCGGAGCCTGACCTGATTAACCCGCCAGCAATAAGCACCCGCTGTGTTTGGGAGATCCGCTACACCATGGCTTTGGAAAAAGAAGTGGAAAATCTCCAGGCGAGCCCAAGCCTCAGACTCAGTTTCATGAACACACCACTCAGTCATCTCTGTGGCAGGGACAAAAGCAGATGATCGAAGAGCAACTCGCAGAGACCCGGCGACAGCTGGGAGAGAGCCAGCAGCAGCAGCGGGACACAGAGCAACGGCAGCAGCATCTACTGGGAGAGGTAGCGCAGCTCCAGATGCACCTCGCCCAGCAGCAGCAGCAACTAGCACAGCAGCATCAGCAGCTGCAAGACATGAACGAGAAGCAGCAACAAAAGCTGCAACAGCAGCAACAAGAGCATCACCAGCAAATGCTACTGCTGCGTCAACAGCATCAAGGACAGGTGCAACAGGGGGAGCAGCAGCAGCAGGAGCGGCTTCAGCAACAGATGCAACACCAGCAGCAGCGGCTGCGAGAGATTGAACATATGGCGCGAACAACAGTTGCAGAGTTGCGAGGCGGGGGGTGGGGCGAGGGGGCAGTGGCGTTCAGATCACCGAATGCAGTCTGCCTTCTGTGACTTTCCGCCCTGTCGATAGGACCTGACACGACATATTATCCCTGCCAGGCCGACTGGAAAGCTTGTCCAAAGAAAAGCCTAAAGGAGGGGCTTGTGCTTCACACAGGTAACGATTTAAAGATGTAATCTGTTTGACTCGGCTACTTCTGTCACCTCAGCCAGGCAAAGGAAAAGACCAAGGGAAAGGCAGGGGAAATGTTGCTGGCTGATAGGAATGACAGTGATCGTACATCCTTTGCCAGGAAGGGAGCAGACTGGCGAGGCCCTGTACCACCGTGAGGCAGTCGATGCATTGTGCAGTTGGTTGTCTGTTTTGCAGAGTAACATGGAGAATCTGCCACATGATCGAAGCCGGTGGTTCGCCTCGGACCCTGAGTCAGCCACAGCCTCAGTGCCGACTTATGTGTCTGTGGCCCACAAGACGACGAAACTTCAGACTCAGCTGTCCTGAAAGTTTCTTGCCTGTCGCGCAGGAAGAGGAGCCAAGCAAAGGGATGAGGGGCAAAGGCAAGGAAAAAGACGAAAAAGGAGAGAAAGGCTGGGCTGCAACCGACGCCAATGGCAAGGAGAAAGACGAAAAAGTAGAGAACAACGCCAAGGGCAAGGAGACAGGCCAAAAAGGAGCTGCAGTCAACGCAGGAAAAGAAGGAACGGCAGGAGCCAAGGGCAAGGGGAATGGAGGACAAGCAGAGGACAACAGACAAAAGGCTGGACCTGGAATGTCGTGCACCATCTTTTCTTCAGATGACTGCTTTTCAGGGAAACGACTGCGCCCCTGAGAAGGCCCGATCGGCAGCCGGCCGCTCGGAGCATCTCCTCATTTTGAGAAACGATGGCAAGCCAGAACTCAGGCTCCCGTCATCCCCGAAGCCTCAGAGGCATCCTCATGCTGACTCCTTTGCTTGAACATTTGTTCGCTCTCAGTACCTTTGGAGGACACCGGACCTGGAGCAAAGACCCCAGCAGCAGATGTCTGGGCCTCTGGACATTTAACACTTATTAGTTTTCAAACATTGCTTTTCAAGTATATTTAGGCCGCCGGCGGACCTCCAGCAAAGACCTCAGCATGCATGCTTTTCGAACTTGACCTGACACACAGAGGACCGTTTCACGATCCAAGGTCAGCCCAGACCTGGACTTCCCCGCGGCGGCTGCCGGATCCTTTTTTTCACCACACAGAAACCACCTTACATTTCTGCAAGATTTTCTAGGCTCCGCTGCCCATGGCGGACGCGAAAAGCCCTGCCATGCCCACAGCCACATGGGGCTCGGGTGCATGCTCCTGTCACTGTCTGTTTGGGTCATTTCACATCCTTGCTCATGGAAGGCTGCAAATACCCCCGGCTCTTCGTCGGATTCGGCTCGAACCTTTTTTTTTTCCTGTGGGTTCACGCCCTATTAAGTGGACTCCGAGGTACGATATCTCCTGCCACGCCCGTCTGGCCCAGCACCGCCGCCGCCTGGAAGTTTGCGGTCAGTCTGGAGCTTAGATCGCATCAAGAATAAGCGCGCGACCACACGGATCCGGTATCGGAGGCCACCGAACAGAAGGACCCGTGTGGTGGCTCCGAAGACGAGTGGATCTACATCGAGGCCAACTCTGGCGTTCGAAAGAATGGGCCAGCCAGGACCTTGAATGTGTGCCTCAGGCTGCTGCTTTCAATTTTGAGCTATGACCGGCCTCAGACCATGGCAAAGGTCCGCGAGATGGTGCCACCCAAGCCGAAAGTCCTGGACCTAATTTGCTTTGGAAACTCGACTGCAGGCACACAGACTCACTCCTTCCAAGGACTCCAAGGTCGGCACGAAGGATTCCCAGCCACCTGCCTTTTACTCAGACTCGGAGGTTTTTTGGCAGCCACCATGTGATCATGCTGCCGGCTTCTCGGCAGGCAGCCGAGTCAACGCGACGAGACAAGAAGAAGGCTGGCCATGAATTGATTTGGGCTCAGTGTGCGGTGTGTCTCCCCGCCGTCCAGGCACCCGAGGTGACAGCACGGCATCGTCGTCGCGAGGTGGGAACAGGAAGTGCATGACGGGCGACTGACTTACATTTTGGCCAGGAGAGCCCGCCACTTCGGAAGCGCCGCAGAAAGAAATTCGATTAAGCGAAGGACTTCAGAACCTTGGACAACAGCTGCAGCTCCAGTGAGGTGTCAGATTGAGTTGCTTTGAGCAGGACGATCCAGATTGACCGGGACTGTTTGCCTTTGGCGAGAAGACAAAATTGCCTCATCCGCCCTGTTGCCTTCTGCATAAAGTCTGCCCGGGATCCCCGCTCTTCAGACACTGTGCCAGCCCAGGAGAAGACATCGATGCCTCCTGGTGCGTGCCTCGCAGCCTCACAGCCTGACAGGATTCGGAATTTCAGTGAAGGGTCCTCCCCCGCCCCACCGAGCAATTAGACCAAGCAACAGCACCGAAAAGGTGACCCAAGCGAGTTTCTTGGCACCACTGCTATAACCTCCTCCTGCAGCACTGAAGAAGTGCTTTTTCAAGCAAACCCGAAATACGTGCTGCTGCCATGAGCTGAGGAGGATGCCTGACTGGCAATTATTTTACCGAACCTCAGATTGATCTTCATCATGATTTGGAGGCAGGACTCCAGGAGCAGATTCGGCACGCAGAGTAACGCTTGCTTTTTTTGAGCGAGTCCCACCCGCCTCGCCCCCCACCCCAATGGAGCACCGCAGAACCTCGGAAATCCCAAAAAGCAGCACTGCAGGAAGTGATCCCCTGAAAAACTTACTTACTAGAAGTAAAAGCACTGCAGGAGTGTGCCCAAATGACTACTGCAGAAATCCCCAAGCCAAATGTGAGCCCCGGGAGCACTGCACAAGTGAGTCCCCAAACCCTGAATCTGAAACATAAATAAGAGCTTCGCATTCGCAGGAGAGATGTTATCTGCGACCTCCGAGATTCCTTGGAGCCTCGGCGGCGACTAGCGAGCAGCGTATGTGGCTTTGGACATTGCCCGCTTTGCACGCGAAGGCGCATTGCCTGGCACTGGCACAGTGCATGTTCTGCCGACCTCAAGGAATCCGTGCAGCACTGAAGGAAGTGCAAGACACTACAACATGTGACTAACAACAGCCTAGTTGCAGCACTGCGAAGTGTCAAAACACGGTGACAGTGACAGCTAAGACAGTCTGCCAGTAGCCGGCCATTTGTGCGCCATGGCTGTTGCAGGCGCGGGAGCAGGAGCTCCAGGAGGAGGAGGGGGAGGTGGCGGAGGGCCAGGAGACTGGGGCGGAGGTTGGGGCGGAGGTTGGGGCGGAGGTTGGGGCGGAGGTTGGGGCGGGGGAGGTCGGGGCGGAGGAGGTCGCCCGATAGGGTGGGGGGCGTATTCCAGTGGTAAGTGTGGCTGGCGTGTTTCTGAATCTGCATTCAGCTGCTGTGTCTGAATCAATGCAAATAATTTCAATCGATGTCTGACAGCGCCAGATACTCCCTGGCGTACACCAAGCGCCTCCAGTCCCGCCGGGACTCCCGCGAACGAGAGGCCGGAAAACCCTAAACCCTAAACCCCTAGACCCTAGACCCTAAACCTGCCTCGGAAAGTGATCAACCCAGGTGAGATACATCGTTGGGATGGAACTTGAGCTGGAAGACTTGCAGGCTGGCCATTGCACAGACCACCCAGTAACTATCTACTATTATTATATAGACCAGTCACTGCCAGGCCCAGAACGCGACGATGCAACAGCAGCTGGCAGAGGCCCAGCGACAGCTGGCAGAGAGCCAGCAACAGCAACAGGGTGCAGAGCAACAGTGCCAGAATCTAGCGGCACAAATAGGACAGCTCCAGATGCACCTCACCCAGCAGCAGCAGCAAGTGGCACAACTGCAGGCCCACCTGCAACAACAGCAGGCACAGCATCGCCAGGAGCAGCAGCAAATGCTTCACGAGCATCGACAACAGCAGGAACTGCTGCAGCAACAGCAGAATCAGCAAATGCAACAGCAACAGCAGCATTTTCAGCAGCAGCTTCAGCAGCAGCAGCAACACCAGCAGCAGCAGCTGGACGAGCTTGAAAATGCTGCACAAGCCGAAGTTGCAGAGTTGCGAGGCGGGGTGGTGGGGGGGGGGGGGGGGGGGGGGGGGGGGGGACTTAGAGCCTGAAGCACATCCCTGCCAGGGCTACTGGAAAGAGAAGAACGCTGGTCCAAAGGAAAGAATAAAGGAGGGATTCACGACAATCAATTGGTTTGTTCCAAGACTTGATCTGCGTTTAACGGCTGCTTGTCTCACCTCAGCCAGGCAGAGGAAAAGACGGCGACAAGGGCAAGAGCTCGAAAGGCAGGGCAAGTGTTGCTGCGATTAATAGAATAATAATAATAATAATAGTAGATCCTGCATCCTATGCCAGGGAGCGAGCCGAAGGGCAAGGCCCTTTGCTGTGGCAGTGTGTTCATTGTGCAGCGCGGCTACACAGAGCAACCTGGCCAGTACAATCCGCACGATCGGAGCCGCTGGTTCTTGCCGGAGTCTGACTCAGCCATGGCCTGAGCGCCAGAACTGTCTCTGTGTGAGTCTGTGTCTTGCGTGTCTGTGGCCTAATAGTACTAGTTGCACATGCAGGAGGAGAATCCCAGCAAAGGGAAGGGCAAGGAGAAAGGAAAAGGAAAAGCCGATGAAAAAGGAAAGGGCAAAGACAAGAAGGGAAAGCAAAAGGCCGGACATAGAACGTCCCACGCACCCTTGAAAGATAACATCTGTGTTTTTTCACATGGACAGGGGAAGGACTGGTCCTCCTTCAACACGGACTCGGAAGTCGCAGCCTCGGTCAAAAAGAGAGAGAGGGAGGGAGGGGATCCAAGACCCTAAACCCTAAACCATTAAATTTGTGGGAGCATGATGGTGACGCAGGACGAAGCAAAAGGCTCCAAACGGAAAAAGGGCGAGGACGAGAAGGGAAAAGGAAAGGCCGGCAGACTGGAATTACGCGGACACGCTCTTGAACGGGGAGACTCACGTTGAGTGACTGTTGTCTAGGGGACCGGGAAAGAGCCAGCGGGAGTCCCGGCAGCCGGGGCCCAGTGTTTTCTGATCAGAACCACCTTCCAGCCATCAGCAGCTTGAGCCAATCATCAATCAGGCGAAGAGCCCGGTCCTGGTGGAATTCGTTGCCAGGGCAATTTCGGCAAGGGCCTTTTCACTCATCGATGTAACTGTTCAGTCTTAGAGGCACTGCCACTGTGTGGCCCGGACTTCGCCTGAATCCAGCACTTCGGATTCAACTGTCCTAGGTGAACGAAGCCCGGACACCGCCCAAGAAGGCGCCACCGGCGCCACCCCCTGCCAAGATGCCAGCAGTCTGGTCCTCATGCTTCTGCAGCCCTCAGAATGAACACGGTTATCTTCCGTGTCCGAAGGTGGTGGACGTGGACGACTTCCCAATGGCCAAGGCCAGAACCTGAATTTTCTTCTTCTGGTCGTTTGTGACGTCAATAAGCGAACAGTTCCTGTTGCTTGCAGGGACCACCGGTCTCTTTTGGACCACCGGCTGCTGGCAATGATGCTGCTTGGCTTTGATCACCTTGCTAGCTTCTAACGCTAGCTTTTGACCAGTTCTTCTATCTGACTTCGTGAAATGGAGGCCCATGCTCCGCCCCCGGACATCCGCCCAAAGGCGGATTTCGGAAGTCACGGCTTCATCTTGCATTTACCAGTCAGTGTCATACCCCCAAGCCCTGCCAGGCTGTC